TGTAACATTGACAGGCCAGATTTCTAATAAGAAAAAACTTCACAAACATTTTAGTTAGGATAATGTCTTCTACTTTTTGGTAGTAAGAAGCTGTGATGTAAAAGTAAAGTACACACAGACAGAAATCTTCTACCTCAGCTTTGGAAAAGGCTGGGACAGCTCCAGGGATATGATTCTTGGCAGCCTGAGTGAGACAACATAGGGAATGTATCACCAGCAGGAGACAGGCTCTCAGTACTGTGATGGACATGTTGAACATTCCAGGGAATCCTTGTCCTGACTTTTACTGCCTGAAAACCAAAGACTGAACCTACCTAATTGTCTCACAGGGGAAGGAATTAACTTGGGTTTCAGGGGTTAAATGCAGTACCTGGTTAAATACAGCTCTTCTCTGGATTGTTTAATGAACCTTTGGCCCTCAAAATGCATCAGTGTTTCTATAGCAGAGATGCCTGGATCTCCTAGAACATCTCAGTCTGCATCTTTCTCATTGTTTCTTATTCACTGCAGAACACACTCAGCTTTTGAAAATTTGACATCTGCTAAGCATAGATGTTAAGTGACTCCATCAAATGCAAAACATTATTGAAAAAATACAGCTCCTGAAGCATGAGGAAGTGCATGTAGGATACTATTAAATTTTAATGATTCACATTTTCTGCTCTCATTGACTTTGGCTGAGCTTTTAAGGAAAAAAGAAATGTTAGAAAGAAGGAAGAAAAAGGCATCATCAGAGAAAATGCCTGGAATAACTCCTCCTAATCACGTTTCTTCAAGCAATTAGAAAAATGGCCCTTACTTATCAATTATGTTTCCAGCCTGCAAAATAAGAATATTCTCAGAATGAAGACATAAGAATTTAGGACATGGAAGACCTACATCAAGATTCCACTTTATCTTTGTAACCTGGGCAAATCATTAGGTCTAGGTTCTTATAAAGCTCAGGTGAACGAGATTCCTGTAGGCAGTTCATTTCATAGGTTCTCCCTTCCAGAATAAAGGTCATACACAATTTAATCAGCCTAAAGTCTTGAAGGTGTGTATGTGAACATCTCCCCAGCATTGCCTTGCTTAACTTTCAGGAGTGCTGGCACACTGCCAGTCAAATATTTTTGTCTGAGGAAAGACCAATAGATGGAGAAGGAGAAAAAGAGAAATGCAGGTGAGCAAGGCATCACACTTCCTTCTGCTTAAGCTCACCCACTGTGACTACTCTCCCATTAGTAACCAGAAATGGACAATTTGCTCAGGTAAGTGGGGATCTCCCCATCCAGGAGACACAAAAATCCACAATTTTTTACCACAGAAGGACCAATAAAGCCATGGGTAGCATATGTTCTTAAAAACAGGCTTGGGTTCAAATGTTTGGATTAATGCAGGCACTTGCAAACTGCTCCTTTCTCACCTGAGCACTTTACCAATCAACTTGCTGGCTACTCTTGAGTCACTGTTTCTCCACTTCTCTGACAGTAGCTGTTCCTCTTAGAAATATTTCGTGCACTAAAAAGTGAACAAAGAGATTGTTTCTACAGCACTGTGGCTTAGGTCAGCAGTGTTGGCTGAGGCTGAAGTCTCTACATCAATATTTAATTATCAAAACTGTGGAACAACTCCAACAGGAGAGGTTAAAACCTTTTCACCAGCCTATTACCGCAGCGGCCATGACATTCCAGTGGGATCTTAAACCACCATATTCAAGTCTCAGTGCTGAATTAAGCAGAGCAGGACTTTGAATCTAGCCTTTCCACCCCAGAAATAACAATCTAAATTTATAATTCATCAAAACATGCACCAATATACATACGCTGATGCTACTTTGCTAAGCCTGTACCTACTAGCAGCCTGCAGCCACCTTATTTATATGTGCTCTCCAAACACACACAAAGCTCGGCCCAGCTAAGGAGACCGACTCATTTTGAACAGGTTTTGCTGTCAGTCTTTATTCCAACACATTAACTAGGGGATCATGGATTTTTTGAGTTTTGTTCAGGTCATCTGGGAAAAAAACCTGAGAAGTGTTGTATTTGAGAACAACAACAGCAGTTAGGCATGCAGAGAGCAAGTTGCATGTATTTGTACTGTGCCTAAGACAATGGCTCACATATCCTAGGAGAGTTTTTGAATTCTCTCATTACTGAATTAACTTGGAGAAGCTACTAAAGAGTTTCAATAGCAACTTGTATTTCATAGAACCTAGTTTGCCTCTGAGTGCCATGAATACAGTATTACCATCTCAACATTTAGACTAACCTCATACAATTTCTTATGAAGAGATGCAGGACAACATGCTTGGAAACCTCTGTGTTTTCTTTACAAGCCATTTCCAGAGCTCCTGGAGCAGCAGCTGCAGAATCTTACATCTGGGTCCCAATAAGAGAACAGGAGGTAAGTCATTGAGGTTATAAGAACCAGAGTTAAATATTTAAAGTTGAATGCTGGAATTTATCTTGGAAGGGTTGAAACAGGAGATTTATTCTAACTGTGTAATATATTTCAGTAATTTACCAGTTGTATTTTGGCCTACATGAAGATTGTATTTTTTATACAGGTCATGAAATGTGATCTCATTGGAGATACTGGAACTCACACTAGAGTTGCATGAGTTTGAATTTCTTAATAGGACCAAGGCTGGGATACATAAGTGTTAATGTATTAAAGGTTTACAAACCCAAGAGGTATAAAGCTTTCCCACCTCACAATCTTATTTCCCATTCTGCTGCTCTTCTGTTAATTAACATGCTCTGCCTGATTCTCTATTTTATGTTAAAGAATTAAATCCTTGCCATAAACATTTCCAAATCTTTGTTCTTCCATTCATTAAATGCCCTCTTGTTAATGGAAAAATGTCTTGCAGAATTGGATTAAACTGGATTAAAAACAGAGAAAAATGGTTTCTAAGAATATTTTAAAAAGTAAGAAAAGCAAACACCAGGAAAATGTCAAGAGTTGAGAGAATCAGTCCCAAAAATAGGAAGCAAAGTAATGCAGCACCATCTTTAACAAAAGGAATCATTTCTCATGACACTTAAAATGCATTAACAAGCCACTCCTGCACCAGAATGGCTTCAACAATACAAACCTGCTAATGTGGGATTAGTTCAACCAATTTAGAGAACAAATTGTTATAAAAGGGTGTCTCCCTTGTCCAATTGCTATGGAGGACCAAGGCGCGTGGGGGGTGGGGAAATAGCTGTGAAAAATGCTCTTTCAGCAGCAGAAAAGGCAAAGTTACACTGGATACAAAGAAGCCCCACTGCATACACAGCTGAAGAATGCTCCACAACACAAGCAGGAGGGTTATTTCCAAACACAGCATTATAGATCTTCAAATTCCACCTTATCTAATTACTTTTTAAATCTCCTTTTTTTGCGGATATTTTTTTGTCCAGTAGGATTAGCATACACATCTGTGGAAACCGGTTTCTATAGAGAAGAAAACCGCACCACTGTGGGACACAGAACATGGGACTGAGCAGAACTCTTTGGCAGAGCTTACACGTACCCACTGCAGACTGGAAAGCTGGAAGCACCAAGCATCCAAGGCAACTGGGGACTTTTCCTACCCCAGTCCAGTTTGGTACCCAAATGAGCAAAATGCCTTAATGTAATATTCCCAAGTAATTTCTGTATTTCTTTCTTTACAAAAAAGTCCTTTCTCCCATTCTGGTGTTCCTTTCTCAGGTCCTTGAGCTAGTGCTCATGCTGGGACTGAAAAGGCAGCTGAGAGAAGCAATGTAGCAAGCAACACGATAAGGGAACAAAAGGGGAGGTTTTATTCTCATTTTTTTACAGATATTGGCATCTAAAAAAGAATAGTGCAAGTCAAAAAGTAGAGGTGGGATTATGTATTTGAAGAGACACAGGCACCACAGTGAGGAGATTTTGTTTTTATGTTTTCTCTTTAATACCTTTCCTAGTTCATTGAATGTAATCAAGCAATGTGAAGTCAATTGAGGGGGTAAAAAGGGACAGTTTCCCTGTCTTCAGAAGTGACTGACCATCTTACAAAATGGTTTTAAAAAAATAGCTTCTTTAGCAAATCCTAAACAGAAACACGTATTTAAATTGAAGTTTAGGCCTGTGATTAAAGCAGATTGCTTTGCTAGGGTCCAATGTTTGAATTAAAAATGAGAAAAAAGCACTCAACTGAATATATATATATATTTGAATTCATATTCAGATTAAATAATGTCAGCTGCTTTTCAGTTGAAATTGTTATAGGTTAAAATGATAAAGAAAAAGAATAAATACTGCTTGAGCAAGCAGAAACAAAGATTAAACGTTTTAAATCCAGAATCTACAAATAAAAAATAGACTCCTTTTCAGAAGTTACAAGTTCTTTAACACATTTAGAGGCAGTTACCGGGTAATAAGACTACATCAGTTACAGTCACTGTTAATTTCAGGACAAACGCATTGGATTTTACTTGTGCACATACTATTGCAATTGTATTATTTATTTAATTAGTATAAAAATATAACTTAATTATAACAAATTCCGTTCCTTAGCATGTGCCTGCTCTTCAGCCTGCTGCCCAGTGTAAATATGAGCCAGCTTGCCTGCCAAGAACAGCCCCGTCTACTTCAGCCCAGAAGTGGGGCAAATAAGCTCTGCTGGTACAGACAGGCCCTTTCTAGTCTCCCTCCTGGCTTGCCTGTAACAACTTTAGATTTTACTGTATCTCACTGTAGCTGACAGTGTTGACATACCCTCATTTTAATAACTCTGTGGACAGCAAGAAGCCATCAGGAAAACACACTGGCTCTCAAAAACAACTTTAGAGCTGCAAGCTGCTAGTGAATAGCAGTCTCTGTGAGAGCAGCATGATTTATAAGCAGTATACAGAGCTCCTGTGATTAATATTCATGCTACACATCCCAGAATAAATAGGAGATGCCAGTCTGATCCAAAGCCCTCTGAAGTTGATAGAAACCTTTCCATTGACTGCAATAGGCTCTGGGTCAAGCCCCAAGCGTCCAAGTGTGTTTATACCTTTTAAAAACAAGGAATTCACTCTCCATGCTTCAGTCCCTCACACTTATTGTCAGCAAACCTCTGGCTAAAAAATGCCTTCCTCTGCAATGGGAGTCTCACTGAAGCCAGTAGGAGCTGTACATACAGAGACTAAGGACATCATCTCCATGTGAAACAAATAAGAAAATGCAAAGAAACTTGATTTTAAAACCACACAAGACAAATTTTAGTGAGAAACCAAATTTTTTTTTTTTTGTTAAGAAGTACAAAATAACTCAGATTTTGTATACCTGCAGGTTAAGAAGGAAATTTTCAATGAGGCACATTGAACTTTTGTAATATACATTAAAAAAAACCCCACTCATGTAAGTCTAATGACATTATGACCCTTTTCATTAAATACTGTAATTATAAACTCCAAGGGTAAGTACACAAATGGTAAATTAAATATGGCCATTTAAGTTATTTTATGCAAAGCCTTTTTTTTTTTACTTATTAAAGGAATTTAATACTACTTAGAGGTGTCCTTGTTAAATGCAGATTGACAATGAAGTTAAAGAATAATACCTCATTTATTTTTATGCTACTTTATAAATTTTCTGAAGTCCGAGTCCTCTCACAATAACTCACAGTAATTAGATTAAAACTACCTTCAAATACTTTCGACCACATCTTTTACAGGAAACATCTTGCAAACCCAACGATGCCTATATAATTGTTTTACAGTGATTATCAAAAAAATACTACGGAATTAAATAAAAGTGGATTGATATGGATTCTCCTCCCCCAACAATAAAATCCTAGCACCATACAAAATATGATTTAAAACTGAGTGCTGGCTCTCCTTCTCTCTTTCATCTTAATAACCAAACAAATTATTTTCCAGAGCATGACTGTTATTATGCAGATTGGTTTCCAAAGTAGTTTTCATATTTTTTTTTCTTGCATTTTGCTTCAAGAAGAAACATATGAAGTTAAAAAAAAATAAAGGGAAAAAGATACAGGGAATAAACTCCTAAGGACAATTAACAGTGAGTCCCCACAGAGGCAAAAGTGGACATTTCGCGACGGATGGTACTGAAAGGGGAGAGTTCCAGTTCTGTGGTGTACTCATTGTCATTGTCATCACTTGTCACTGTTGAAGACTTCTGGATGCATTCATCACAGCAGCAACAGCAACACTCCATAAAGGCCCGGCTGAATGGTTTGCAGAGACAGAAAAGGAGAACTGGGGTAACACAAGACTTAAAGAACAAAAGGAACTGGCTAATGAGATGGAGGAGGTCCATAGTCTGCCGAGAGACCCCTGTGGACATGTAGGCAGTCACAATGTTGCAAATATTTTCAGGAATGATGCAAAACCCATATAAAATGGTCAAAGCCACCACTGTGCAGTTCATCTGGCTCTCCAGCTGAATTTGTCGCTTGTTCCCCCTCGTGCAAGCCTTTTCCGCCCTCCTGATTTTCCTCGCAGTTACCAGGGAGCAGGTAATAGTGAAAAGGGTAGGCAAGCAGAAGTAGCAGCCAAAGTACCACCAGAGTCTTGCCCCATCGTAAGTGAGAGCCAAGACGTAGATGGTGTCAGGAAGCGCGGTGGAGATCTTCACCACGCAGCGCTCCCCGGGCGGGCTGCCGCTGTATTCTGGGTCCTCCTTGGCCAGCTGGCGCAGCACCACCTCTGGCAGGGCCAGCAGCAGTGCGCCCACCCAGATAACGGCCAGCTTGGCCGTCGTCGAGGTGCAGTTCTCGATCATCTCGTAATACATCTGCACGTTGGTGGCAGCACGGAAGCGGTCGATGCAGAGGGCACACAGGGTGAACGTGGTGACTCCGAGGGAGGCTACCTGGGAAGGAGAAAAGGGAATGCAAGTTAATACAGGTGCTGCTTTGTCTCCTTCAAAAGTCCCCTGGTTCCCTGTTGATGGCAATCTCATTCCAGATGGAAGATGAAGGCCTGAACCCACTCAGGCTGAAGAGGGAATTACTTTATTGTACATTGGATGAAGGCTCTTACCATTGAACTGTCCTCTGGAAGAGAGCTCAATTTGTACTCTGAAACACCAGTCAAGTCTTGCTCCTTGACTGACAAAGGCAAAGGGAAACTTAGTTGAGGGTTTATCAGTGTAGGAAACAGTTAAGCACCATGGGGCTGAACACCATCAAAAGAAGCATCACAGATGGAACTTAGCTTCCAGTGTTTCCTGAACTAATATCCAGCATGCATCCCAAAAAAGTATGCCTTTCTCTTTTTTTGCCTACAAATATTATATTTCAGATTGGTGTCAGGAGGCCCAAGCAAGCTTCTGTGCAACATTAAGTGGAAAAAAATTAGAAACTGACCAATATGTAAAACTAAACTCCCCTTTCCCATTTTTCCAAAGGGTGTTTTTCAGAAAAATCAGTTTCCGCCACAAGATTTGGAATTTCAGTCAAAAGGAGAGAGGATGGTAGACTTCCTTGAGCAGAAGCATAGACTTATGCCCACAGAGTATGTTCATCAAGCATGCAGGGGATCATAATATCACAACCTTCCATATCTACAGAATTTAGGAACCTTGTGTATTAGGCATCTACTGAACGGAGTAGGGACCAACCACTGTTTTTGTGGACTTAGGTTTTTAAGTGACATTTTGATGTGATGTAGGCACATAGTCATCCTGTACTGAGTTGAAACAGACTGTACCCGAAATCTTCAGACTTCCAGAGCCTGTGTAAAACTGTCCTTCACTACAATACTTCAGCTTTAACAGTCTATTTTCAAGATTTCGTTTAGAAAACTCCACAGGAAAATCTAGGCTTAATTTCATAGGAAACATCCTGTGGGAAAGTGTAGTGCAGGCCAGGAGAAATGGCACAAGTTTCATTGTTTAAATGATTTAAAGATGAATTGGACAGAGCTCTCAATTATAGACTGTAAGGAGCAATGCATATGTTCTCTAGCTTTAATAACCATAATTCTATGCATGAGTAGAAATCTTGTACTGTCATGAAACATAATTTCCTAACATTTTATCCTGTTTATAATTACATTTCCTAAAAGAAATTTGCAAGATGACTATATACATTTTGGCCTAATCCTATTCCCAATGAATTCAACTTCAGTTCAAATTCAAAGCAGAACTCCTATTAACTTCAATTGGAGGAAGATTAGATGCCCTGTTGCATTATAATTCATTTATTTTCTTAGGTTTGCATGCTTGTGTTATCCTGAAAATATGCTCATGCAAAAGGAAAGAAATTGTTAAATAATATTCCTAATAAATGTAAAGAATTCTTACTCTTATCATTAATAAACCACGTGTCTGTGCAATTAACTGGGAAATCTAGGTTAATATTAAGCAGTTCACTATAACTTTGACTTCTGAAATTTGATGTGCAATTATATATTTACATTTCATATAGGTAAATTAAAAAAAAAACACGTTCTGATTTCCATCACGATTTTGAAATATTCCTGTTTATGCATATCTTGTAAAACATTCTGCAAAGATAGTACAATTATGTACAATTATATACATGTATAATTAATTTTGGCCTTCAATATTTAATGTCCAGATGAGAATGCTAAAGCTGAATATCACTGAAAAATATAAGGTACTTGGGATCAGAACTGTCAGGCATGGACTTACTTGGGGAATTCTTTGAAGCATTTTCCTAAAAGATGGGATGAATAAAAAGCACTCTCTTACTTATTGACTTGCAGGAATATTTAGCGATGACAAAGCAGTACCGTAAACACTTTCAATAGGCAAACCTATTGATTTGGTTTTGATTAGGAAGCTAAACTGTCTGATGAGATTCAAAGAAAGCTTGGAAAATACAGCAAAAACTTAAAGCAATAAAAGAAAAATTACAGTTACAGGGAATCTTAATGAACAGTGACAAACATAGCTAATTAATGGTAATTTTTTTTTTTTTGTATCACTGCTGAAAGATTTTTAAATTCAAAACTAGTGACTTTTATTTCCAAAACATTTAAATGTGTGTGCAGTCTTCAAATTCCCTAGAGTGACAGCAAAACCTTTAGCAAGAACATCCAACATGAATAAAAAAAGGGCCAAAACTCAGCTCTCTAGAATTATGGGAGAAAGGAAAATAACTGAGATTCAGGAATGAACAGAGATGAAAATCAATCAATCAGTCAATCAATCAGAAGAACAGAAGAAAATCTGAGGCTTTGTACATTAAGACCTTCCTTCTCACATCTTAAGTGAGCCTCTCCCCCGCCCCTAATGGACACGCTTGTATTGCTTTAGCATTTCATTGCTAACAGCCTTTTACACAGTAGCTAAAACATTAAAACTCTGCAGCTGTTAAGGCTGGACTAATGAAAGAAGACATGCCTACCATGAACAAACGTGACCTAGAGGGTTCCTGTCACATTAATTGACCAACAAGTTGGAGGTTTAAGACAGAGAAATAGAGCAAGAGGAAACAACTAAGAACAGTGGAAGTCAGCTTTGAAAACTCTCCTGTGGATTTACTGATGAAACCAGTTAAACAAAGCTAGAGTTTTTCTGGAACAGGCAATGGTTTCCCATTTCCTGTAGATTAATGTAGATAGCAATGCCATAGAAGAGCTTGCAAAAAAAAAAACCAACACAAAACAAACAAGCCCAAACAGATGGATTTACCCCAGCTGACTTGCTTAAAGGCACTATAGCAATTTAAGGGTCTGATTGCTTACCCCACATTGCAGACTATAGCCAGCAAAATCAACGGGTGCTGCTCACAGCCTATGTGGGCAAGAACTGGGACATGCATTTTGCATGTTCATACAATTTTAGTTTTGGGGTGTTTCTTCATACTAGTCATACTAATAATTAGGGTTAAGCTGAAAACATGAAAGCCAGAGAAGTTTCATTTTTAATCTGTTACATTGCCCTGAAATAACCACAGAACTAAGATAACACATTTGATGGGGAGTAGGTAAAGGACAAATTAACAAATCCTAAAGTGGTGCAAAGTTCAATGGTGCTCTTTTTGTTGAAACACCTGAACTTCTGATATGCTGTTTCAGTCTTAATTCCAACATCGTGGCAGGAAATGAGGCAAGGGTGAGTCAGGCTCAGTAGGTTTTTGATCATCACTTAGTTGTCTCATTTATTTCCATATGGTTCCTATGAAGATTGTCCTTCAGTCTCTAGACTGAAGGACACTCAGGATGACACCAGTTTACATCCTTCTCTTACCAGATGATATCAGAAAAGTCTCTAAGAGAACAACCACTGACCTGCTTTGTGGAGGTGGTGAAGTAACCCCTGCTTTGAGCAGGTGCCCACACTATTTGGGCAGAGAACTGCTGTTGCAGGGATTACCAGCCACAGGATACACACATAAAAGAAGACTTTATCATGACAAGAGAGTCTCCTCATACTGTTGCTCCTCAAAGCATTGAGAGGGATGTTAATGGGCACTGTGATGCTTCTTCAAGATACTGCATAAACCTTTGCTCACCAGTTAGTCAACTGTGTCAAAACTCATTTGGGAAATGAGGCCAGAGAGAACAACAGCAAATCCATGAAATGCTCAGCTTAATTCCATCTCTCCATCCCTCCAACAGACCCATTCCCCTTTCATGAACTTTAACAATTACCAAAATATTCCCAGGCCTTCTCTGGCCTGTCCTACTTTTTCTCCTGGCTGTGGTCCCACAGCTCTTGGCCCTGGCCTCTAGGAGCAGAGCCTCTGACTGACTAGGGAAGCAATGCAGATGTAGTATGGTAAGCAATGCCAATCCAAGTAAGACTCTGAATTCTCTCTCACTAATATCTCCTTGACTAAAGGTAATTAAAACAAAATGAGAAACAGGGTGAAAATATCATATGAAAACATCATAAAATTCTGTGAGTGAATAGAAAAGAGGTTGGGATCACCAAGTTCAGTAAGACGAAGACCAAGACATTATATTGCTACTATCTACAAATAAGCCTATCTTGAGATACATGTTATTTAAGCTGAAGGACAGTGGATATAACAGAACAGGAATCAACTAGCCAAGAGCAAATTAAGGCTGGAAATGAGGACCATTAATAATCTCAAGCACACTTTCTGATGGAGAAGTGAGGAGAAACAACGTAAACTGCGTTTATATGGAACAAGGTAAAATAAAGGAGTTATAAGAAGTGGCTGCTTCTACCAGCTGAAGCTGGATTTTCTAACAATATATTTTATGTTGATAACACAAGAATTTCTCAAACCCCATGGCAGTCTTCTGTGCTTTGCCATAAGACAAGATGGGTATTCAAAACATTTTCCTGTTGTAATAGGAAAGCTGCACTACAGAAAAGGTTGATGACTACTAGCCAAGCCATCTCTGAGCTCTCAGTGACAACCTGTAGACTTTTTAAATCCATTCCTGTTATATAAACAACAAATTTTTCCACCATGCCATTATAGTCTATCAACTTATTATGGCTGTTATAATATCCACATCAAACTTCATAGCTTTAGAGCATGTTAATGCAACATACCATACTCTTGCAGACTTGTCAGCTTTGCCTAAGATAAATTAAGAAGTTAGCAGGGACTGAAAAACTTTTTTTGTGCTACTCTACACTTACAGTACAGCATCCAGTAATAAGACTGGGCTACCACAAAATAAAAGGCCATCCCACTGCATGCAATTATTTAATTGTTTAATTTTACCTAGATTTCTGTTCTTTTAATTAAAAAACACACCAAAATAAAAAAGAAAAACCACCAAAGAATAGTCATTACTATAAAAGAACAAATATAAATAAATAAAATTTCTTTCATGAAGAACATTAATGGCTCTATGCATTAAAACAGGTAAGGGTCACTCAGTTAAAACACTGCTGTGGTGTGGCAGAAGTAATTCAGT